GTGTGTATATATATATATATATATATATATATATGCACGCACACACTCATACACAGTTAAATAAATGTTATTTTTCATATCTTTTCTATACCCTCCTTTGTATACTTCGTGTAACTGCATGTATGTACCATATATTTAAATGTGGGTGTATGTCTAAATATATTATGGGTTTGGTTTTTTTTTGGCAAGATTTGTTCAGGGAGGGTTGCCATGGCCTTCTCTGGGGCTGAGAGAGTGTGACCTGTGTGTGTCATGTATTTAAATGTGTCTATATCTAGATATATTGTGGGTTTTTTGGAACGATTTGTTCAGGATTGCTATTGCCTTCCCCTGAGGCTGAGAGAGTGTGACGTGTGTGTGTGTCATGTATTTAAATGTGTGTATCTCCAAATATACTGTGGGTTTTTTGGCAAGATTTGGCAAGAAGGGATTTGCCATGATCATTCCCTGAGGCTGAGAGAGTGTGACATATGTGTGTGTGTGTCATATATTTAAATATCTGAGTATATTTAAATATATCTTGGGGATTTTTTTGGCAGCATTTGTTCAGGGAGGGTTACCATAATCATCCTTTTAAGGCTGAGAGAGTGTGACCTGCCTAAGGTCACCCAGTGGGTTTCCATGTCCAAGCAGGGATTCGAGTTGTAGTCCTAAAACTCAAACCACTGCACCTATCATGGGGTTTTCTTGGGAGGATTTGTTCAGAGGGGGTCTTGCCACAACCATCCTCCAAGGCTGAGAGAGAGTGATGTTTGTGGATATCATATATTTAAATACACTGTGTTCATTCTTTCCAACTTATGGCAACCCTAAGACAAACCTTAATGCGATGTTCTTGGGAAGATTTCTTCAGAGGGGCATTGCCATGGCCATCCTCTGAGGCTGAGAGAGTGTGACTTGCCCAAGCCCCACCCCCCGGTGGGTTTCCATGGCTGAGCCAGGATTCGAACTCTGGTCTCCAGAGTCCTAGTCCAACACTCAGACCACTGCACCACACATACAGGTACGCATTTAAATCTATCTGTCTAAGCCTGTATTTTAATATCTGTGACTGTATCTGATTGAATGGCCTAAATCTGATTTTGGAAGCTAAGCAGGGTCAGCCCTGGATAGGACTTGGATGGGAGACCGACAAGGAATCCCAGGTGCAGAAGAAGGAACTGGCAAGAACCACCTCTTGAGTAATTCCTTGTTTAAGAAAGCTCTATGAAATTCATGGGGTTGCCGTAAAGTTGACAGTGACTTGAAGACACACAAAACAACACACATATCAGTGACTAATAAAAGTAAAGACACAACTCTGTTATCAGGTTTCTTGTGGGTTGCAGAAGGATGCAATTAATTGCTAAAATATTTATTTATTTATTGAAGTGGTTAACAACAGAAGTAAAAATAAACATTAAACGAGCAAGTTATTTATTTAATTAATGTGTGTGTCTATAGCTTTTTTTGCTTTAATATTACAATAATAATAATAATAATAATAAAATGTAATTTTAAATATTGTAATAATTTAATTCTTTTTTAATGTATCAATTTTGTATGTTTTTAAGGGTGCTTTTTTTTTAATACTGTAAGCCGCACCGAGCCCCAGTTTTGGGGAAAGGGCAGGATGCTAATAAATATTATTATTATTATTATTATTATTATTATTATTATTATTATTTCCACAACTGAACAAGGCAGACACAACATTTGGTCATTAATTTAATTCATTCTGTTCATTGATCACACATCTCTCTCTTTTCTCTCTCTCTATATATATAATTATATAGATAGACAGATAATGTGTTCTCTCTATATATCTATCTATATATATCTATTATATTACTAATATATAATATTATCTCTATTATATATATAGAGAAAACCCCTTGCAAAAATGTTTTCTCAGTAACAAAACATTAAATCAAATTTCTCTCTCTCTCTCTCTCTATATATATATATATATATAATATTATTAATAATATTTATAAGAGAAAGAGATAAAACATATTTTCATTACTGTTTTGCCATTGAGAAAATATTTTTGCAAGGTTTGGGTTTTCCATTTTGCCCTTTGAGAGACTGAAAACTTAATTTATTTGTAAGGACTGGAAATAAAAATCAGTTTGCATTTCTGGTTTCTTTCCTTTCTGTTTTGGGCCAATGAAGAGATAAAATCTTTATTACGGGAGAAAAATTTAGAATTAAATCTCAAATATGATTTCCCATTTTGTAATTGCAAAGATTAACAACTTGACTTTAAAAATAATAATAGCGGAAACATGAAATATTTGTTGATTCAAAGAGGACCTGGCAGTGACCGCAAATGACAGATTTTTATAAATTATTTCTAGACCCCTTTCAGCCATGATTAGATCTATTTGCTATTAAAAATCTATATTTTTTAAAAACCAAAAACCAGCTCAAGGCTAAAATTAGTAAAGTTTTCCTTCTTTAACTTCCACTGGCTTGTTGGGAAAAAAATTGAGAGACAGTATGGTGTGGGGTTTTGCATCTTAGGAATTAGGAATCCAGGAGACCAAGGTTCGAATCCCCACTTAGCTATGGAAGCCCAGGGTGACCTTGGGCAAGTCACACTCTCTCAGCCTCAGAAGAAGGCAATGGCAAACCCCTTCTGAAGACATACTGCCAAGAAAACCTTGAGCTGTCTTGGTGTAGAGTGCGCTGAGAGATCAGAGTTCAAATCCCTACTCAGTTATGGAAGCCTATTAGCTAACTTTGAGCAAGTCACACTTTCTCAGCCTCAGAGGAAGGCATTGGCAAACTCCTTCTAAAGACATACTGCCAGGAAACTCCTGAGCCGTCTTGGTATAGTGGTTTGAATGTTCTGAAAGACCAGGGTTCGAATTCCCATTCAGCTATGGAAGTCCACTGGGGTGACCTTGGGCAAGTTACTTACTGACTGGGGTTGATGGGAATTGCAGTACACCATTTCCCAAGGAGGCGGTCAGGGTCAGTGTTGTGTTGGTACACATCCCATCCATGTATGTGAGAGATGGTGGGACACACACACAGTCATAGAATCATAAAGCTGGAAGGGGCAGAATTTCAGTGCTGCAAGTCACACTCTCTCAGCTTCAGAGGAAGGCAATGGCAAACATCCTCTGAACAAATTTTGCCAAGAAAACTCTTTAGGGTCGCCATTAGCTGAAAATGATTTTAAGGCAACATCTTGAAAGTGGTGGATAATGCTGAAACTTTAAATGTACAGAGGCCAGGGTTCGAATCCCTAGTTGGCCATGAAACATCATGGGCAAGTCACACTCTCTCAGCCTCAGAGGATGCAATAGCAAACCCTCCTCTGAAGAAACTTGCTAAGAAAATCCTGTAATAGGGTCGCCACAAGTCGGAAACAACTTGGTGTAGTGGTTTGAATGATCTAAAAGATCTGGGTTCGAATTCCCATACAACAACTACAACAATAGAAATTGACAGACAGCATTTCTGTCAACTATGAAATAAGTTAAAATAGACAGGGAAGAAACTTCCATGTATTTTCAATGGGAATCTAAAATCCCAAACTATGGTCCTCCATGTTTTTTGGACTTCAACTCCCAGAAGCCCCAGCCAGCTTGGCTGAGAGTGAGGAATTCTGGGAGCTGAAGTCCAAACCATCTGGAGGACAAAAATTTGGGTACCACTGAGTTGGATCAAGCTGAATTTCTGGGCAAAGAGCATTATTTATTATTATTATTGATTATTATAATTATTATTTGTATTGATACCCCGCTCTGTAGAAATGGTCCCAGAAATCGCTCCTTGCAGTGGGATTGTGTTTTCTAATATTTCAAAATTGGGATTATGGTGGTAATTGGGGAAACTCAAATTTTATCTTGGTTAGTTGTGAGTTTATTTTGGATCCAGAATTATGCATGTTGTTTGCTTTTAAATTTTCATTTTCACATGAGGCTGAGAAAAATGGGAAGGAAGCGAAGTTCTCCGTCTTGCCGTTGCGGAAGGGTTGCAAACTAGAAATAAACCAAAGATCGAGGTTCTAGTTCCCAATGAGTATTTAAAACCCAGTATTAAACCTGCTCCGGTCTCTCCGAGGGTTGCATCCGCACTGCACAATTATAGCACTTCGATGCCACTTTAACTGTCATGACTGGATTTCTGGTTTGTTCACTTTGTTAGAAGTAGTTGGATTTCTCTGCTAAGAGAGCACTAAGGACCTTCCCTGAACTACAGATCCCTAGATAATGTGATTTAATCCTCCATCCTTGCGTACCTTGAGAACTATAGTTTAGGGGAGCTCATTGGCACCCTTTAGCAGAGAATTCCCACCAAACTACACATCCCAGGATTCCAGAAAATTGAAGGCATGGTAGCTGCTTAGATTGTCTTCATTTAAGCGGGGTATAAATAAATTTTATTATTATTATCATTATTGTTAAAGTGGGATCAAACTGTTATAACTGTGCGGTGCAGATGCACCCCAAGACGGACCTATACGTGCTTTTAATCTATTTAACTGCGCTTTATTTTTTAAACAATTGATCTGTTTTAATTCTGCAACAGTTTTAATTCTGTTTCAAGCGCCCCTTTTGCAAGTTTTTTAATTGTATTTTTGTAAGTTTTTAACTGTAAGTTTTTAGATTCTAATTTTTGGGGGGAAAGAGGGATGCAAATTAATATAATATAATATAATATAATATAATATAATATAATATAATATATAATATAATATAATAAATCTCTTCGGTGTTGCAACATCCCTGAGATATTAGCATCAAAGAAGGAAAGTCCACCACCTTCTTGGAAGGTGCATCTACTCTGTAGTTTGACACCACTTTAAGTGCTGTCGCTCCACCCTACAGGATCTTGGGATTTGTAGTTTTGCAAGGTTTTTTCAGCCGTCTCTGCTGAAAAATGCTGGTGCAAAACGACAGACCCCAGGATTCTGCAGATGAAGCCGCAGCAGTTAAAGTGGTGTCAAGCTGCATTATTTCTACAGTGTGGATGCACCCAGAGAAGACTAAAGACCTTCTACAACTATAAATCCCAGGATTATGTAGGATGGAGCTGTAGCAGTTAGAGTGTGGTTATGAACTGCATTATTTCAACAGTGATGATGAACCCAGAGAAGGCTAGAGACCTTCCAAAACTATAAATCCCAGTATTCTCTAGGATGGAGCTGTGGCAGTTCAAGTGGCGTCGAACCGCATTATTTCTACAGTGCAGATGCACCCAGAGAAGACTAGAGACTTTCTAAAATTACAAATCCCAGGATTCTATGGGATGGAGCTGCGGCAGTTCAAGTGGTTTCAAACCGCATTATTCCTACAGTGCAGATGCACCCAGAGAAGGCTTGTAAAACTACAAATCCCAGGATTTTGTGGGATGGAGCTGTGTCAGTTAAAGACAGCGGTGCCAAAGCTGCATTACTTCTACACTGCAGATGGCACCCAGAGAAGGCTTAGAGACCTTGTAAAACTACAAATCCTGTTGGATAGAGCCATGGGAGTTCAAGTGGTGTCGAACTGCATTATTTCTGCAATGTGGATGCACCCTGGGTCTAATTACCTGCCACTACAGATCCCAGATCCTCCTTCCTTCCTTCCTTCTTTCTTTTTTCTTTCTTTCTTTCTTTCCTCCAGCCCAAGATGCGGATTGTGTTTGTGTGTCCAAAACTATAAATCCCAGTATTCTCTAGGATGGAGCTGTGGCAGTTAAAGTGGTGTCGAACTGCATTATTTCTACAGTGCAGATGCACCCAGAGAAGACTCTCTTCTTATCTGGAGAGTGAGAGGAAAAGCCTGGGAGCCCTTATCTTTCAAATGATGGAAAGTCAAACCTTAGGAAGGAGAGGCTCCCTTCCCTGGGAGTTTCACTCTATTCTTTGCCTGCTTTTGATAATAAGATAATATCTAAACTGGGAAACAAAGGATGGGCCAGGAAGGAAGACCCCTTTCCCTGGTTAAAAGACGCATTGATACAACTAGGTTTTGTCTAGAGTCACAGTAACACAAAGGTGACAATGTCAATTGCCATTTTC